AAAATCCCATGAATCATTGACGAGAAACCAAACAGCACTGGATCTATATAACAATTTGAACTTGTACTGCTCCAAGTAAAATCAAATTAGAAATCTTTCCCCAATTAGGTTATGCAAACGCTGACACAGAGCTGAGCAGCACTTGGTGTTTGTGTGACAGCAACCCTACCTTACACCTCTCACAGCGGGGATATTCTCAAGCACACCCACCTCGACACCGGGTTGTGTCAACATTCTACGTCTAGATAATAAATATGAGACACAGCACACACTGCTTTTAATTGCATCGATAAACTGGGATTAACCCCCAAGTCAGGCTTCACTATTGCAATTAAATGTCCTCAAATAAATGGTTTCCTCAATAAACAAATGGAAGGGGCTGTGTTTGCCCTGAGTAATAGCAGGTGTAATATTTTATTGGCTAAAGCTAAGTATTAAGTGGAATCACTCACAGCACCTGATTTATTCCCTGAGATCGGAAAGTCATCTTTCATACGTCATGGGCTGCTTTGGTACTGTATAAACAGCTAATGATACCCTAAATCAGGCCCACTCGGCCTTGCCTTTCACCAGAACTGCCGGGCCTTGGAAATCAAGAGTCGGGGGTTCCTCTAGGGAGCCCGAGAAACTGACTGTCTTGGACATACAGTGGCTGTTCTTTGTGGTTTGGTCTTTAGGTTCTAGGATTCAAAATTCCTGGATGTGTGCAGAGCTGAGGGCTTGGCACATAACCCAGGGGCTCTGTGTGGATTATTCACTGATTGGCTTTCTGGTTTCTGTAGAGGTGTGTCCAACTTGCAGCCAAAGATACCTGTGAATGCTGCCTAACACAAAATTGTAAACGTGTGTAAAACATGAGGTGAGTGAGGTAGGTGTTTGTGTGTATTTGGCAAGGGTCTCAAGGATAACCTTTGTGTATTAGAAGCCCCTTTGGCCATAGTGAGGTCCTACCTTTTATGACCTCTGAACTCTTTTGGTGAAATTTATGAAGAATTCTTTTTCTTTGTTTTTTTTGTTTGTTTGTTTGTTTTTGTTTTGTTTTGTTTTGCTTTGCTTTGCTTTGTTTTGTTTTTGAGACAAGGTTTTAGCTGGTTGTTGCCCAGGCTGGACTGCAACTCTTTAGTAGCTCAGGCTGGCCTTGAACTTGCAGCAGTCCTCCTGTTTTAGCCTCCCCAGTACTGGGACTTAGACCTGAGCTACCGTTTCACAAGGAATTTGTAAAGGTCAAATTAATCTCTTTGACAAGAACACCTTTCTTTGTCTCAGAGTTTGAACAGAGGACAGGCTTTGATGGGCCCGACTGTATGTACCAGGGCCTGGGAAGTGAGAAAAGAGCTCAGGTCCTTAGGGGCTAGGCTGAGAGCTCCTAATAATAGCACCTAATCTTTCACAGAGTAGAATGGAGCAGCATTCTTTTTAAAAACATCCTATGTTCATATGCACTTATTTGTTTACTTAGTGTGGGAGTGGGTGGGTGGGGTGCAGCCCACGAGTGGAGGTCAGAGGGCAACTTGACAACTTCTAGGAATCAGTTATTTTCTTCCGTCACTGCATCCCAGAGATTGCAGCTCAACTGTTAGGCTCCGCAGCAGGCACCTGCTGAGCCATCTTTCCAGCCCCAGAATATCATTTTTGTTCCATGCAGTCCAGAGGGTGCAGACCAGTGTTAACTGGTTCTCAGCCTTATTTGGTCTTTTTTTTTTTTTAGTCTGGCTTTTTTTTTAATGAAAATCTATGAGAATTTGTGATTTTTGTACCTTTTGTGCTCATTATAAATCCATTGTAGAGCTCAGTGGTTTAGAGCGCTGGCTGCTCTTCCTGGGGACCCTGGTTTCATTCCCAACTCTCCAGTTCCAGGGAATCCAAGCAGAAAAAAAAATATTCATATATAAAATAAATGAATCTAAAAAATTAAAATAAGTAAGTTACAATAGATTTATCTGCAATAATTTTCCTGCAGTTTATTTACTTGGTTGCGGCTTCTTTTTCTTTTTTCGAGACAAGGTCTCATTATATACCTTGACTGTCCTAGAACTCACTCTGTAGATCAATCTGGCCTCAGATTCGCAGAGATCTGCCTGCCTCTGCCTCCCAAGTGCTGAGATTAAAGGTATGTGTCATTAGGCCTGGCTCTGTTGCTTCTTGAACTTTGCACTGAGAAGCACTGACCTACACATCTAATAGTTGCATATCAAGCTATTTAAAATAATGCATTATATTTAAACAACCTGCCAAGCAAGTCCTGGTGTTCTTTCTGGTCAACGGGACAAAGATTCTCTGAGTTGAGCAGAGACCATCTGGTTCCCACCAGATACTCGAGGGCTTATAATCACAAAGAGGGGATGAAGGTCTCAATTAGCTTTCACTACGTTGAGATGGCCTGCAGGGCACGACTGTGCCCTCCCAGGAGCTGCCCTCTGTACACCAGAGAGCTAAGCCCCTACTGGGGTTATTGATTTAGTTAAAGAGCAATTTAGGACACATTTTATTAATATGCTCGACATCAGCGTCACTGTTGCCTTTTCGTCATCTTAAATGATGTCCGAGCCCCACTTATTTTTAGTTAGTGAATCTTTCCTAATTATATCACCGCCGGGGGGGGGGGCACTTGCTCAGCTCCAACCCAATCAAAAAATATGCACCAAAATTACCGTATGACTTAAATATATCAAAACTACCTTCCTTTTAACTGATGGCCTAGAACTTAAAAGATATAGTTTGTCTTTCCCAAATTGTTATAAAACATTTTTAGATGATAAATGCTATCAGATGGAAATAAAATATTTAACACATAGGACCTCTTCTCGAGTGTGAATATATCTACAGATAATTGTAAGCTCCTAGGAATACTTGATGGGAAATATATTGATAATACAATTTTTCTTTTCAAAGAGATTGTAATGATTGCAAATTTGGTTTGATAATTAAATTAATAAGGACTGTGAGATTCCAGCATGGGCCTCTTAGTGATATACAGAACTGATAATATCTGTCTTGCCAACTAAAGAGGTTTTAAAAGACTGTGTCAGGTAATCTTCGCTGGTGTTTCTTTGCTCTTTGAGGTTAGGTGTGTCAAGTGTCATCTCTGAAAATTTTCATGAGAAAACAAAATGATCCATTAATACCCTTATTTTACTGTTAAAAATATTTAGCAGAGGGGCTAGAGAGATGGCTTCAGCTGAGATGGCTGACTTGCCAGTTTCAGGCAGGAACCCTCAGTTGGAAGTGAGGGTAGGTGGGGTCGCTGTGTGCCGGAGACACAGGTGTCCTAAATGGGGCACCCAGGTCTGTTGAATTCTGTTCATGTTCCTTGGCTTTTGGGAGTTTGTAACCTTAGGCCCTCTGGCTGTGATCATCCTGATGGACTTTGCATATTGGCCCCATCAGGTCTTGAACAAGTAAGTGAGTGTTGAGCAATTCAGGTGACTGCTCTGCCAGACCCTGGAGGACTGGAATCTTCCAACGACATCCTATTGGCCTCTGTTGGTTCATCTTGTCCAAGCTAAAGAATTACCTAATCACAGTAGCCATGGAGAGACCAGAGGCAGCAGTCCTGCAGAATCGAGGGGCTTGGAAAGGTTCTGTGTCTGGGGCTTGTAGAGATGGTGTAAGGCAGAGGAGCAGAGATGAAAACCATGTGTCTCTGACTCTAAAACCAGCCCCTACACAAGTGTCATAAGACAAAAAAGGAAAGCATCTTTCTCGGGGCTTGCTTATAGTTTCGGAGACTTAGTCCATTATCACCACGGTACTTTGGAACGTGGCAGCAGGTATGTAGAGAGCTACATCCTGATCTGCGGGCAGGGAGAGGGGGAGTGAGAGGGGAGAGGGCACGGGGGAGGGGGGGGCATGTTTTGAAACCTCAAAGCCACCCTCAGTGACCCACTTCCTCCAACAAACCTATTCCAACAAGACCACACCTCCTAATCATTCTCAAATAGCGCCACTCCCTGAAGACTAAGTGTTCACGTACAGGAGCCTATGGGGGCCGTTCTTATTCAAACCAGCGTGCTGGAGTCCTAGAGGAGCGCGGGTAGCAGAAGCTAAATCAGCTCTGAGTCCTGATTAAACTGGCAGCTTCTGTAAGGCAATCACTAGGTGACCTGGGCTTGAATCCAGGCTCACGGTGTTAGACAAGTACTCTACTGCTCAACGCGTTCCCAGCCACCAGAAAGCCTTACTGGTTCTGTGAATGGTTGTCTGGGCTGTAGCCGTTCTTCTCAGATGCACACAGCGGGAAAAGCCCTTGCTGGAGGAGTAAAGTGTGCCATGGCAAAGTCTGTGTCAGCGCCAGGAATCCAGATGCAGATATATGCCACTGACACTGGTCTGCAGCAGAGACTGCTGCTCTAGGGTCACTTCCTCCAATAATGAACTCTGATCTGGAAGTGTAAGCCAAATAAACCCTTTCCTCCCCAGCTTGCTTTTTTGGGGGGAGGGAGTGTCAAAAATTTTCCTTTAATTTACACAAGTGTTAACATCAGTTTTGTCAGGTATATCATATCTATAGACTAGAAGTAAGTTCTGTAACCCATTCTGTACCACTTGTGGTCTGTATGGTCTTGGGGAAAGGAACAGGGCAGTCTGTGTACATCCTACCAGGAAATGGACACACACAGCACACGGACCTCAAAAAGGGGCAAAAATATGCTAAAGTTCAAACCTAGTCTCTTTAATATACATTTACCAGACCAAGAATAGCTAGGGAGAAGTGCTTGCTTAGCCCTGGCAATGTTCTGTGTCGAACCCTAATACAGCAACTTTGCCAAACTACCTCTAGTTACAAGGCTCCAAAATCAAGCACCGAGAAGATTACCGGCTGTTAACCTTCAGCAGGTGGCTGAGCAGATAACTTGCACTCACTGATGAGTAAGCTCTTAACCAACAAGTAACTTGTCATCACCGATGAGTTCTGCAAAAGAAGGCTTTTTTTTTTCTTAAGTAAAATTCTAAAGCAATTTCCCAATCACACAGTCTCACTCCCAGATCTCGTGATTTAAGACTGTTTCCTGCACGGTTTGTCTCCTCAGTCATCATCCAGAGGTCTCTGAGAAGCCGTAGGAATACGCAGGCGCAGACTCGAAGGCCAGCTCCATCTCCAACATTGTGGAATGGGACTGTACATCAAGGGGCAGGGCCCTATGCTCCCCTAGGCCACTAAGACAGAGCCCGGGGAGAGTGACCTCCCGGGGTAACACGTTGAACCCAGTTTGCTTTTAGTCATGACTGTAGCAGCAATAGAAACCCTAACTAAGAGAGTGGGGGTTTCTGAGTCAGTCGGGCTGGGCCCAAGGTTTGGTGGGTCCAATCTTCCCCAGAACCTGTTCAGGACTCGGTAACCCAGACCATGAGTTTTGTTTCTTGTTCCTGTTGATCCCGTGAAGACTACACCTCCCCTGCATGCTGTGGTTCCAGAATGAGGGCCTTTATGAATGGGAATCTGGCCCTCGAGGCCTCAGAGGGAAGCTCAGGACAAGGCTAGAGCAAGGCAGCATAAGGCAGGGAGAGGGAGGGTCTCGAGCAAGGCGCGAGAGTCGGAGGCTGGAGAAAGAGTGGGAAGCAGTACCTTGGCTCACAGTGAAGGGCCAGGGGCTTTGGCCAGTTGCAAAGAGGATCTGGTACTTCCAGCAGCTTTCCAGACACCTGCCCAACTAGCAGGAGATTCTAAAACCCACATTTCATAGAGATGTCCAAAGCCCTGCAGCTTCAGGCTGTGTCCAATAGCCCCTTAACTCTGTCAGGTTCCAGGTATTAGAACTAGCTAGAGGCATTGGGGTTGTGACCATTTTTATCTTCAGAGGACTTTCCAAATATTAAGTGCAATTTAATCAAACAATGTTTTGTAGAAATTAATTTCCCAAGGGATTTCTCTTTATTACTCTAATTGTTTTCCATTGACCAACTAATTTTTCAAATTGCAGTTTAAAAAAAAATACAAATATTCTTAGATGAGAAGTATCTTGGTGGGAATACTGCTTTCAGAGAGATTTGTAATCTTTATATCTGGGCTTACATATTGCCCTTCTATTGACACTACTTTTTGATTAATATTGTGTAGAACATTCCCTAATGCATCAGCAGAATTAACTATGCAGAAGCATTCAGGCACACAGACATTATATTGATGAAATGACGTTTTATTGACAAAATGACAGTTTAATACTGAGCTCTCCTGAAACTGTTTATCTCATCAGTTGCCTCCCTTATGATAGTGAACCTGTCAAAGCAGCAGTGATATAAATCTGTCCTCTTTCTCCACGCTGCTCGGTGGATCAGTCTGGACACCTTGCAGCATGGATGGTGTCTCTTTAGGGTATCCTAATTCCAGTTCATTTTTGTGGTCATCCTGAAAATGGTGGTCCTGGAATACACCCTGTCATTGCTTTTTTGCAAAGCTCTCCATTGTTTACCTTTGTGACCTCGGGCCTGCTTTCTCCTGGCTTAGGGTCAAAACGGTATTCATGTGTAGAAGTCTGTATCCCCAGCAGAGGTCTTGTTTGGAAAAAGGGTCCTCAGAGATAATGACTGTAGGAAGTTGAGGTCAGTAGGATGTTCCTAATCCAAATGACCAGTGTCCTTATGAACACAGAGACAGCAGTGCACACAGAGGGATGTCATGTGTGGACTGGCCTGATGCTAGAACAAGCCAAGAGCTGTGGAAGCTGGAGAGAGGGTGGCTCTGTCCACCCCAGGACACTGGCTCTGTCCTCTGAACTACAAGAGAATGCATTTCTATGAGTATACAGTCATTCTGTGAAAGAATGGGTTTTATTGCAGTGTTTTCCAATGTGTATATTATATACTTTGTTTAAATAAGAAAACTGAATTTTGTGATTTGGGTTTCCCAGTTTTTACTATGTTCTAGCAATCCTAGGATATAAATACATAATATTTAAACAGTGATATTTTGGGGTTCTCATTGCTGAGTCCAAGATTAAGCAGGCTAGGCTACGGATGAGGTTCCCACAGGGATTCCTGGGTAACAGAGGTCTGGGTGTGAGAGAATACACTCCATGGTTAGGAACCCCTTCATTCACATCACAGAATAGAGTAGGGGTGCCCAAGCACCCCTGTAGACAACTCCTCAGTATTTCCCTCTGGGAGTGAGCGCCAACAAAACATGCTCACGCAGAAGCTAGATGTGGTCATCAATGATTTTTGCAGCTGGCTCTTTTCTCTGATCCTTACTGAAGCCCAGTGAAGTAGGGGACAAGCCACCGTCTACAAGGAGCTGAAAAGAAAAAGGTCAAAGTCAGTGGGGACAACAGAGAAAAACCAGCCTCAAGGCAGTTAGCATGACAGTGTTTTGTAGCCATCTCAAGGATGGTCAGATCTCGCCCCAGAACGCGATGATTTGGAGTCAAGAGTAGGCCAGCAGCTGCTGTTCTGCTGTGTCACCTAGGATGCTTGACACTCTGGGGTCCAGATGCTGCTATCCTGCCCTTTGAATATCTGCATACTAACTAATTGGCAGTTTCGTCGGAAAAGTGTAAGAACCAAGGAGGAATATCATTTACACAGTTTCCTTCCCTCTTCTGTGCCATGGGTGTTCATCAGAAGGACCACACACGTATTGATGGTCATAGACCAGCTTCACCAAAGATACCACTTACCAGGGTAGGGGTATGGGGATTAAAAATAAGTAAAGTGAACGAAGATGCAAGTGAAAATAATGGAACAGAAGCATAGGATAGTACCGGGAGGGAGTTCCAGGGAATACTGAATTCTCCTGCGTTTAATTTCTATTTGCTTAAAATACCCCCCACCCCAAAAGGTAGGATTAAGATGAAAAAAAAAACAGAATTAACATGATACAAGAAAATGAACATACCAATTGAAAGTTGCAGGCTACATTCTTAGTTATAACATTCTGTTGCTGGAACAGGACAAGTAACACTCACACCTGAGGCCAAAACATTCTGTAGACAAACCACTCCCTGGAAGGAATCTATTATTATTTCCTTAAGAGAGTAGGAACTTAGCTGGATCTTTTAGACTCTTGTTTGAGGTAGAAACAAATCTATTTCTCTATACCTGAAATACAAGGTCTGGATATTAGCCACACCTGTTGACACTAACCTTGAGAGGGCAGAAGTTCATTCCAACTCTCTGACCTTTGGTCAGGGTGAAACTCTCTGACCTTCAGACAAGGTGGAAATAGGCTCACATTTTTGGGTCTCCATAATTTATCAGTATCTGTGAGTATTCACAAATTACTTATGCCCTGCCTGGTACTCAGTTCTGCCCTGGTAGCTATCCGGGCAAGTCTGGAAGAATTGTGGTCTCTACCAGTAACCAATGTCCCTTAAGCCCCCTCCCCAGGGCAGTACTGGCTCCTCCATGCAGGGTGGTCATACTTCTGGAAGAGTCTTTCTCTTCTGGAGGACTTGTTATGACTCAGTGGGAACCAGATCTTAAGGCCAGGTCAACTTAAACTTGAGTCATTCTCACCCTGGGGCAAATGTGCCTTTGCAGACCATCTGTCAATCATGTCAATCAATCATCTTCCTTGTGAGGGACAATCTTGTGGCCTTGACAAAGTCAAAGCCACAGAAGGCAACAGAGATGGTGGCCAGAGAAGACTTCCAGCATGTTTCAGACAATTGTGTTTGAGCAAGGGATAGAGGTGGGTTCTGTGCCTCTCTAAAGTCAAATTGCCAGGCTCTGGTTTCCTGACTCGGGAGTTAGAGCTTCTTGCAGGACCATCATTAGGTGGTCCACAGATTCACTCTGGGAATAAGCAAAGGAATATCAGCTTTGTCTCAAAAACGGCTCCCATAGCAGAGGATCAGAGCAGGCACTGGCACTGCCAGGTTGGGCCATTTGACCTGGAGACTCATGCTTACAGGTTTATAGGTGTGCCTGGCTGGAGACTCATGCTTACAGGTCTATAGATGTGCATGGCTGGTTACAGGTCTATAGGTGTGCATGGCTGGGTTACAGGTCTGTAGATGTGCCTGGCTGGAGACTCATGCTTACAGATCTATAGATGTGCCTGGCTGCAGCTGCTCGATCCTGGATTTGGAAGCTCTGGAAAGGTGGCTCCACCTGCCCACAGGCCTGGGCCCTGTGTAATGTCAGGCATAGCTTTCCTTCTGGCATGAAACAGAGGTGAACTGACTTTGGTGAGTTTGGGTTAGACTCCCTGCCTACTGGAGCTCTCAAAACCCAGAAGGCCTTTAACCGAAGTTTCACCATCTGGTGCATAAAGGTGGTACCTCATGTTTTCTCCTTCAGCTGCCAAACATGCTGAACACTCACTCATTATATGTAACTGGCTGTTTATATTTTCTCTTAGGCAATGTTCCTTTGCCTCCACACCCCCTGCCACCACAATAGCTTTAACTGAGGCATAATTGCGCACAAGTTGTTCATATTTTTATATTTTTTAACAAAAATCCTAGCAGTTCAGGTGTAGCACATGACTTTAATCTCAGCACTTGGGAGGCAGAAGCAGACCAACTTGGAGTTCAAGATCAGTCTGATCTACATAGCTAGTTCTATGCCAACCAAAGCTACATAGTGTGACCCTGTCTTAGAAAGAAAGGAAGGGGGCTGGAGAGATGGCTCAGCCGTTAAGAGCATTGCCTGCTCTTCCAGAGGTCCTGAGTTCAATTCCCAGCAACCACATGGTGGCTCACAACCATCTGTAATGAGATCTGGTGCCCTCTTCTGGTCTGGTGGCATCCATGCAGACAGAACACTGTATCCCTAATAAATTAAAAAAAAAAAAGAAAAGAAAGGAAGAAGGAAGAAGGAAGGGAGGGAGGGAGGGAGGGAGGGACAAACAAGCAGGGGAGATGGCTCAGTGGTTAAAGGACTTGGTGCCTACATGTGATGATGTGAGTTCAGATCCCCAGAACCCACACAAAGCCAGACACAGTAGCATGTATTCCTGCTGTAATGGTTTAAATAAAACACTGCAGCCGGGTCCAGCAAGGAGCCGCGGCAGGTGAGAGACAGAGATGGATAGGCACACCATGCAGACTGAGTTTGGATATAGTTTATTCAGTAAAAGGAAAGAGGGGAGGAGGGAGAGAGAGAGAAAGAGAGAGAGAGAGAGAGAGAGAGAGAGAGAGAGAGAGAGAGAGAGAGAGAGAGAGAAACCGGAAGAAGAGGAGGAGGAGGAGGGGAGAGGAGAAGAGACTGTAGCCACTTCAGAAGAGAGACTAGGCAGAGAGAGAGAGTGCAGGCTGGAAGTGG